AATCAGCTCTAGAACTTCATACGATGTAATATTTGTGAAAATTTGAAGTAAATCTGTAAAGTGGTTTAATAAGTGGTTAACATTTATGTAAAGTTTGGAAATACTGTTTTATATTTGACAAAATATAGGAATACCAATGGGGACAAATTGTGCTCCTCTTTTGGCAGACCTTTTTCTATTCTCGTATGAATATAAGTTTTTGCAAAAGATGATGACAGATAAGACAAAATTCCACATAGCTAAACTTTTTAATAAAACAGATAGGTATATAGATGACCTGTTGAGTTTGGACAACCCTGGATTTGAAAATTTTGTTAATGAGATATACCCTTCAGAGTTAGAGTTAAAAAAGACCAATGAATCGAACATGAATGCGCCTTATTAACATTGAACAAGACAACAGTATATATTGTAAGTTGTATGATAAACGAGATGATTTCAACTTTGATATTGTGAATTTTCCCCATTTAGACAGTAATTTTCCATTAAATCCAGCATATGGGGTCTAAGTATCCCAGCTTATTAGATATGGCAGGGCATGCTCTAAATATTTAGATTTTAAGTCAAGACACAATACGTTAGAGATCAAACTGTTAGGTCAAGGTTATAATTCTATAAAGCTTAAGAAATTCTTTCTGGCCTTTGCTGAAATATACAAATCATTAATTTCGAAGTTTCAAGTTTTACCACTTGAGATGCTGAAGGATGTGGGAATTGTTTAAGACATTGACAATGAACTCACAATATTTTCACTTTCTCCTGATGACCATTGTGAATCATTGTGTTTTATATGGATTATGGCGACGGCTTTTGTGAATGGATGTTGACCCTTTGAAACGCCTATGGACTTGGAGACTGGATTTTATCTATCTCACATCATTTGAGACTGAATTCTCTATCTTGTATGAGTACTTGTATCTCCAACAATTTTTGAGGTTATGAGTATTGGCTATCAATTGGCTATCAATTTTTTATTTTTTCTTCAACATGTATTGTAATGACTTCAGTATGAATGAAATGTCCCTTGGTCTTCTGGTCTTGGATTGTGATATTGATTCTTGAATGGTGGGGGGAAAGGGGGTATTAGACATTGTTTCTTTTCACGTTAGATCATGGTTTTGGGCTATATGGGGTTTGTTTTTCTTGACTGGTATGCACTTAGAGTTTTTTTTTTCTTGCTAAGTTCCATTACAGTTTTTGGTCCTTTCCCTTTGGCACTTGTGCTTATATATTTCCTGGAATCACTATGGCAAGATTTATCCAAAAACTTCCAAGATTGCCACCAAAATGCAAGATGGCCACCAAAGAGTTAATCATCTCTAGACATTCTTACCATCTAAGATGTGTGGAAATTTGGAATAAATCTGTTTGGTTTTCCTGAAATCGTCAGGACAAGAATTATCTTAAAACTTCCAAGATGGCCGCCAGAATGCAAGATGGCCACTGAAATACTAATGAGGTCTGGGACTTTTCACTATATCACATGTGTGAAAACTTGAAGTCTATCTGTTAAGTGTTTTTTCTGGAATCGCGATGCCAAGATTTATCTCGAAAAAATACAAGATGGCCACCAGAATGCAAGATGGCCGCCGGAAAGTTAATCAGCTCTTGAGCTTCTTACCATGTAACATGTGTGAAATTTTGAAGTAAATCCATGAGATAGTTTTCCTGTTATTGTGATGACTAGAAATGAGGCTTCAGAATGCCACCTTGTCTAACCCAATTTTGATGCCTTTTGCCCCTGTTTCTATCAATATAAGAGGTGTTTTCTTTATGAGGGAAGTCTGTTCTTTCAAACGGTACAATCATTTTATGTGGGAAAGTACTGGACAACAAAACCCCTTTTCTAAAGCCCTTTAGGAAATCAGATCAGGGACTAGTAATTAGTATCTGGTTAAAATCTTGTACCCATTGGCATTATTGTTGAGTTTGAATTTCTTCAATGACAACATATTTCCAGATATCCTTGCTCTGAATGAATATGCCATGGTCAATGTTGTTTGTAACTATTTCAAACAAATAAGGAAGATTTAGATTTTTAAGGTCCTTTAAGAAACCTTTGTTCTCTTTAAGTTGACATTCTCTAGATATAAACTTTTTGTGTTGAATTTCTATGTGATCCTAAAATCTTCCTAGAAAAGGGAATTTCATTCTACTGATAAAGGAACTTATTGTCCATATTCCCATACTGCTAATAGTCATTACACTAGATTTCTCTTTTCAAAACCTTGAAAGCGCTTCACAAATATTTTGAGCAATTTTCATTTTATTCATTTCTGTTTTACTCCAATAAAATCGTTGTAAATATTCACGAAAAAATTTAAAAATCGCACTACAGAGTAAACCTAGTGTAATAAATAGCCATTGGTAAGTAAAACAACATATCAAAATCTTAGAAAAATCTAAGGAGTGGAAAAGGTGAAGGGTACTATGATAAACAGTAATAATTTCTGATATATAACTCAGATCACGATTAAATCTTCAGGGATGATGCACCTATACATAGTTAGTTGTCACAGCAAGTTTGATATTAATTGGTCAATTGGTTACCATAGCAACACAATTTAATTACTCAAAATCTTTAATATTTCAGGTAAATCCGAAGCTTCATATAATAACAGATGTTGCCATTTCTCTTCAAATCATTTTAAAAATGAACATTAAGTTACCATAAAAACATATTTTGGGAATTTGTAATAAGATAACATGATTAATATGATGAATTATATGATATATTTGACTCTGGACTCCATTCTATTAGGTGACTACCACTCTATGTAGTCAAAAGTGGGCTTGGCACTTTTTGGTGATAATTTCCTAAACATGTCATTTTTACAGAATCATTAACAGTTATATTTATAGGGCTCATGGATACCGATGGTATTTTTTGATATGGGGAGTCTGTACATGATTGGTCAAAGGGTTGCCAGAGTAACAGAGCATAATAAACGCAAATAGTGTGGTGCAAGTTCTGAAAACACTTATTTTATAACATGGAATATGATTCAACCCCAGCGTATATGGTATGCTTCAATACCAAGAGCATATCATCCAATAGCCTAATATGGTAGAGTCTGAGACCATAAATCTAGTTCAGATACAAGAGGCTAAGGTTGGTTCAGCCTTCAAAGTATATATATGGTACCGCCTCCAGAGTATAAGACGAGTGCAGTCTCAAGAATCTAATATGGTACAGACTCTAGAGTGCAATATGTACATGTATTTAGCATCCAGAGTCAAAGATGATACAACATTCAAAATCTATGATTGCTATAGCATTCAGAGTCTAGGATGAGTACAGTCTCTAGACTCTTAGATAGTACAGCCTATAGATATAACATAGGACCAGTCTCCAGAGTTTAAGATGGTATAGCCTTCAGAGGCTATGGTTACTATAGCATTCAGAACCTAAGGTGGGTAAGTCTTCACGAGTCTAAGATGGTACAGCTTCCAGATATAACATGGGATCAGTATCCAGAGTCTAAGATGGTACAGCCTTCAGATCCTATGATTGTTATAGCATTCATAGCCTAATTTAAGTACAGCCTCCAGACCCTTAGATGGCACAGCCTCCAGATATATAAAATGGGATCGGTTTCCAGCGTCTAAGATGGTACAGCCTTCAGAGCCTACGATGGTTCAACCTCCAGAGTTAAAATGGTATAGTCTATGAGTATAACAATCAGAGTCTAATATGGCTTCAGCCTCAAGAGTTTAATGGGTACATCTACTTCTAAAATTGGTACAACCTCCAGAGTATAATATGAATTCAACCTCCAGAGACTAATATACATGTAATATGATGTAGCTTCAGAGTATAATATGGATTCAGCCTCTTGAATCAAAGATGGTACAGCCATCAAAGTCTATGATTTATATGAAAATCAGAGTCTAAGATGGGAAAAACCTCCAAGAGTCTTAAGATAATATAGCCTACAAGAGTCAAGAAGATATAGCCTGTAGAGCATTTGATGAGTTCTGGTAACAGCCTTCAAGAGAAGATGGTACACCTTCCAGATGCAAGAGTTTCCAGCCTCCATAAAATGGTGCAACCTCTCCAGAGTCTATGAGGGGTGCAGCCTCTAGAGTCTTAGAGCGTTTAGCCTATAGTGTAATGGGTACATCCTCCAGAATGTAAAATGGGTACAGCATCCATAATCTAAGTTTGATATAGCCTACAGAGTCTAAGTTGGTACATCTTCTAAAGTCTAAGATGTCAAGAATCACCATTTTGTCACATATAACACCAATCTGTGATTAATAAATGGGTATCAGATGGTACAGCCTCTAGCGTCTTAGAGGGTTTAGCTTCTAGTGTTTAATGGACACAACCTCCAAAGTCAGAAAATGCTTAGACAGATGGGCGGGCAGATGGACAAACAGCAGTATTTCAAAAAACGCATTATTAGATGTGTTACCATGATAGTAAATGCACGTCAATATTATCAAAACTTGTATTTGTTAAAAAAGATCATACACTAAAACAATTCTTAAGGACAATTTAGGTTTAATGATTGCCTGAAATGACCTCTTCCAACTATTTACATGCATTATGTTGTGTTGCTATGACAACCAATTAACAAAACATGTTTAAACTCACAATACAAGATAATAATACAGGGTGTTCAGTAAGTAAAGCTAATTTTGCTCTCAAACTTTTATTTCTTGTCTATCATCGTTCAAATTTTCAGTGGAGAAGCATCAGACACTTTTCTAACTATCCTGAAAAAATGATCAAGATATAATGAATAACAGCAAAATGGTGGTTGTCATAGTAACGCGAATACGGGTTCTGCGGAGCAATTTTATATGTTCACAGCATAGTAGATTTTGTTAACGTTAGTTTCTGTCCTGTCTATATTTCAACCATAGTTCTGTGGCTATTCCACATTTCTACTTTCAAGTTAGCATTCTATTTCATGTTCAAAGTAAGAAATTCTCCATCTAAAATGTCACTCGACTTTTTGGCAATTAAAAGTCCCTGCCTGCATTTAGTACTCATATATTGTCATGTGCATAATTTTGAAACCATATCCTAATTATTTCACAAACCCTTTGTTGATTCTGCCATAGTTTCCAATTTGTAAACAGCATTTAGCCTTTTTAATTGGGAACTTTTTTGAAATTTCCAAAATGGCTGCCATGTGATTCCAGAATTAACATGAGTGTGACGTGACATCACAGTTGCTCGTTCCTAGGTAACAACAAGATCACAATTGCTCATTTCTAGATAGCAACACGATTTTTGATAAAATGGCACAGAATTACCCTGATTAACACCCTTAAAATCCGATTTTAAAAGAATATATTTGGAGAAACAATAAAAGGTAAGTGGAATAAATTAGAAGATGGTTTCAAGTTACCACAGAAGTCAATTTGAAACTCAAGAATGCTTTCTTTGACTCATAATCACAAAAAAGTCGAGTGACATTTTAGATGGAGAATTTCTTAGTTCCCCTTAGCTTTCACACACAGCTGATGTCGTTCTATCCACTTCTGATATATCCTGTGGAAGCCATCTGGAAAGTTCTTTGTCAGCGAACGTTGAACGGCATTCTGAAGCTCATGGATATGTGCGTGGATCTTACCACGCAGATCATTTTTCAAACATGAAAATACCCCAAAATCGCACGTTGCCTTGTCAGGAGAATACGCTGACTGGCCTTGAACCTCCATCTCCAGCGTTTTCTGGATAGTATCCTGCACCATTTGCGACCTATGCGATGGCGCATTATCTTGATGGAATATGTAGGAGTTGAGAGTTGCGAATCGCGTTCACAACATAGCTGATGGATCATTCTGGATCATTCCATCTGTTGTATCATCTGTCTGTGATGTCATAGACTACTGTTGCCATGATATCATATTTGTGTATGTTGTTGTTATGTTTGTCGTGACTTTCAGCCATAGCAAACAAAGACATATGCAGCATTAATCTTAATCAATTTCATTGCATTATAACATTTTTATTAAAGTAAGAAATTGCTCCGCAGAACCCGTATTCACGTTACTATGACAACCATTGTTTTGCTATTATTCATCATATCTTATTTAATTTTTCAGGGTAGTTAGAAAAATGTCAAATGCTTCTTCACTGAAAATTTGAAAGATAAATGACAAAAAATAAAAGTTTGAGAGCAAAATTAGCTTTACTTACTGAACGCCCTGTATATGTATCAATGACCCTTGTTAATATGATTCTGTCAACATGAAATTATTTGGAAATGTAATAACATAATAACAAAAAGTGCCACGCCCACTTTGTGGTAAATCGAGCAGTACTAGTAGTTGTATCAAACATGAGGAGGGTCCAAAGCCAAATATGTCAACCTATTCATATATAATATTTATCATGTTATCTTGTTGTAAACTCCTTCAGCTCAACTTTGCATTCATTTTGAAAAATTAAAAATGACAAGCTAACATCTGTTCCAATCAAATTGTGTTGTCATGGTAACCAATTGACCAATCAAGATCAAACTTTTCATGACAACTAACTATATATGGTTCCATGATTTCCTGAAAATGTGAATGTGATTGGAGGAACACAACAGTAAATATAAATGCTTATTATAGTACTCCCTCATAAAATAAGACCGGGGGGTACAAATAGTGATTTTTACATATTTTCCACTACTTAGATTTTTCTAGATTTTTGATATGTCTTTTCAATATGCGCCGTACGGAGGCCGCAAGGCGAGCGTAATTTTCCTACGCTCGCCGCAGAAATACACTGATTTAATTGATCTGCGGTCGACGCACGGCCTCCGTGCGACAAATGTGACTGGGGTGTAACCAGCTCAGGGGACTTTCCAAAAATGTATTTTGAATAAAACAAAATGGAGACGCACATATTTGAAAGAACGAGTGTTTTTCCCCAGTGTTAGGACTGTTAAGACTATTTTGAAAAGTCAAAATTAGACGATCCAATCCCGTGCTTAAGATTGCCAAACTTTTGGCAAGTGTAACACCCCAGTCATATTTGTCGTACGGAGGCCGTGCGTCGACCGCAGATCAATTAAATCAGTGTATTTCTGCGGCGAGCGTAGGAAAACTACGCTCGCCTTGCGGCCTCCGTACGGCGTATCCAGTTTTTTACAGGCCGCAGGGTCGCCGTAGAAATTATTACTCGGAGTTATAATATTTGTTCATTTCTGAGGTCCCCGTAGAAATCAACTGGCTCAACAAGATTAGATTGAATAATTATTTGTCAATGTTTCACGATCACTTTTCATTTGATATTACATCCTAGCACTATGAATAACATTTAAAAATTGTCCTGATGTAAATAAAATGAAAAAAGTATTATTTATCAACAAAAATTTAAATTTGCCGTGCAGCTGCCGTGGAAAATGTGACTGCAAAAGTATGAGAGCGCAGAAATTCCACGGCGAGCGTAGAAATGTTACTGGCCGCAGAAATGATAGACCGCAAGGTCGCCGTAGGAAATGTGACTGGGGTGTTAGTAGTTGTATCCAAAAGAAACGATTACGTAATCATTTGATAAATGCTGTGCAACGAACACGCAACATCATGATTACGCAACATAGTAAAAATCATTAACCTTGACATTTAAGCTCGTGGGGGAATGGGCAATATAGAAGGGCAATATAGTGAAATATTGGACCGAGGGCCGAAGGCCCAGGGTCCAATATTTCATTATACTGCCCGCAGAAATAACGTTATTAGTATTATTACCACCGTTAACGACAAGAGGGGGGAAAGTCCCAGAGATTAGCGATGACTGACATAATACGTCTCTTGGGTACCAATTTAGTTTGCGCAAATTCTCACCAGTTAATTTTCGAACATAGCGCGTCGTCGTGATGTTTAAATCGATGTAAACATATTCCTTACATATTTCTTTATCTTGATGTGAAAAACCAAGCTATGATATTGGTTAATACGCCAGGAATCAACATAATATTATTCGAAGCGTTCTTAGAAAATTTTGAATCCGCCATTTTTATTGATTTGGACAAATCAGAGGTGTATGTCATCTCAATACAGGTTTACATTATAAGCGTATGTCATGTTTGAACTCTGGTGTTCATCCCCCTCTTGTTAACAGGCTGAAACAGCAAGAAAATCTTACGCACTGAACGATATCTAATTTCCCGGGGAAAATTTCCGGTCGTTAAATGCATTCTCGACCACCACTATGACGTCACATATTGCTCAGGTCGATATAGTAAAATTAATGTTAGTTAGTTATATATTTATTAGAGTCTCACGCTGAATTTTTTACAATCATATAAAATCAATAAATAATTAAAACAGCAGCCCAGCCGGCATCGGCTTATGAGAGACTTCATTAATGCCTTCTAAACTAGCACTGAAACCCCTAGAACTGGCCCGGCAAGGTGGTAATAATGTTCCATCTGATGTAGTTTGTCTCAATCATCAATAAGGTATATTGCCTGACTGATGTTCCAAATGTTGCAATCAGCTTACTAGTAATTTACTTCGACAAAATAAGATATTGCAATAAGAAATTAGAACCACCTTCAATAATACGTAGTTTGATATTTCAAAAACAACTTGATTACAAATTCAAATTGTTGGCGTTTCGTTTGACTTTTTTATTGGCATGATGCCCTTTTCACTCTCTGTCATTGAAATATGATATATTTATAAATATTTTATCAAATATATTTTAAAGGTCGAGACATCAGGTTTTAATTGTAATGTATGTGAAATATGATGTCCAATACACTCCCATTATAAAGAATTTTGTATTTATTAAAAAGTTCTGTTATAAATTGGGGGCAACTTTCCAGTGTCTTTCATAGTCTTATCTAACTTCACTTTGAACAGCTGGCTTGGCATACCAAACTTGGGAATGTTTTCTTGGATATTAATTAATTGATTAATTAATTAATTACATTTGAAATATTGAAGCATAATTTCCAATGGTAGGAAAAAATTCTTACGAGACAAAATCAGAAAAAGTCGTCTGCTGAATGGAAAAGTGGTCAGGAAGACGATTTTCAATTAAAATAAAGTATCATTCCTTCTAAACTGCACTATGATGCTAAATAAAGTCCAGAAGAAAGTTATGAATACAAGAACGATGACAATGGGAGGTGTATTTTACCAAGAGCATGTGGAGCACCCCTTGATAAGTCGTCACAAGGAATGCTCAAATTTTAAACTCTAAATTAATTTTTGAGGAATTTGTTCCTGCACGTTGGCTCAAACAGATTCACATAAACGATGTAAAACATTATTGACTGCATGTAACCATTGATTACATGGCCATCTGAAAAAGAATAAGTCATATTGAATCTTAACAATACTAAATCAATAACATTGATAATGGTTTTGAAATCTAAATGAACAATTACATCACATTATCATGTAGCATAAATGTGGTAAATGTGTACCACATAATGGGAGACAACTTTGTTTATTTCATGTCAAGGGAACAATTAATTAGAAGTCGTCTCATTTTGTTTATCTATTTAACTATATGTATAGCTATTTATAGAATGATACATATCGAGTTACAGAAAATATCCAGTTAAGTTAATGGCAATTGACCCATGTCTCTTATGTCTCTGTTCAAATGGAAACTGTTTCAAACTGAATCAAGACCTCAGACGTGTTGTAAAAATATCTAATAGTTCTGGAAAATACAAAGATTTATTTTTATTGTTAGATTTTGAGTGAGGTTTCCATATATATGAACGGGACAGTAATTTTTAGCTTTAAAGGGGATGCATATTACCTAGCACATCGTTTATGTTCGATTATTCTCCGCCTTTGATTTACACTATTAATATCTTAATCATTTACTAATCAACAGGCAGATTAGTCCATGTGAGGCTATATCGTTAACATAGTAAAATTCAAATAAATAAACAAAGACGTTAGTATCTAATTTTCCTGATTTTTTAAAGAAAATGTTGGACTTAATTGCTAAATCAGTATTGATGTTATTTCTTCATGGACGTCTTACAAGTGCAGCGTTCCCGACTCAAGGTAAGCCAAGATTTATTAAACTTCGGAAGGACATGACATTCATTAATAATAACAAATTATTAAAAATTAGATACCCTTCATTTACCGTTATTTTCTAGGGGATGCATAAATAATGAATGAGAGAACAATGGGAAGGCTTTATTCGTTTAACAAAAATGATGATACCCAAATCAACACAATCATTTTCTGTATTTATTTGAAGTAGTCAACCCAACTCTTCTAATATTTAATTCACACATTTGTGCATTCAGCCTGAGGGGTAAATATTTTAATACTTGCATGATCCAACTGATCAAGCTACAGAGGAAAATCGAAAATATACTTTTCTTGAGAAATTTGAATGTTAGAAAAAACATACTGTAGACTTTGTAGCGGTTCAGTATTGTGATTATGTATACGTTACTTCTTTACTCACGCTTTTTATTTTTCTTCTTTTTTAGACTGCAGCTACAATGTTAACAATTTTCATTTAGCTGATAAGGAAAATAGATGTGTATATTACCTCTGTAAGAGAACTGCGTGGGTTGCCATGACATGCCACAGGGGACACGGATCTGTTAAGAAGGGCTACCAAACAATGTATTCTAAAAGGCCGACAAGGTTGAATCTTTGCAGGGGTGGTTTCGGGATCTGTAGTCCCAAAAGCGCAGCAGAAATTAAAAGTGGGTTGATATAGTATCTCGTTTTTCACCACAAATTCATATTCAGAAAATAACTTTCCATTACTCGAAAGCCAATTCAAAGCTTGGTACATTTATTTTGGTTATACAGATCATAATCATTTTAGTTTTACACCATTGTTGTATACAACTCCGGAATGCCACGGAAACTATTTATATTTATTTGTTAAATATGTATTTAACTCTTGACTGGAACACGATCTAAAAATCATATACGTGTACTTGGAGTATCATATAAGATTCATTATAATTGTACATCTTGTGTTTTTAATACCCTCCCCACCCCATGAGTTTTACTTGTTCAATTATTACTCTGTCTTGACAATGTAATTGCTGTAAACATTTTTCGAAAAATGAATTTCAAAAAGAGCTTCGATCATTATTTATTTCATATTGTATCATTATATATATATATTATACATAACTTCTCAAAGCTATTGAAAAGAGTACATTAAGTTTTATTTCATTTTTAACACTTTTTCTATGTAATGAAGTATTGCGGTGACATGTGGAAGGTGGCAAAGTTTGTACCTTTTTGAAAAACAAAATATACAACTTTTTAATAAACCTGTACCCTTGGTTTCAATATTAGAACTAACTTTTTAAATGATTTCGCACAAAAAATCGTTCAAAAACCAATTTTTAATTTGAAATAACTTTTAACTTTTAACTGATCTTTATAACAAGAAGTATAAAATTGTTAAAAAAGATGTCAAAGTCGATTAAAATCCGTAGAAAAAGCAAGAATTTTTTAGAATGTTAATTGTTTTAGCATTCATTTACTATTTTTCATGGCTCTAAAAAGTTATATTTCAGAGATTTTTTAGAAAAAATAGGAAAAAAAGTTGCCAGATATTTTAAAATGCCATACCTTGTGTGTCAATTAGCATATCAAAAAAGCTCCACCCTAAGTAGCATCATCTTGATTTCATTTAGAGTGCAATAATGCTTTGACAAAATTTAAGCTAAGCTAAACTTTCGAAATAAACTCAAGTTGAATGTCTTACTAGGTTGAAAAGAATAATACAATGTGTGTCTAAATAATACTGTACCATAATGTTTTTTATGAAAACCAAAGTTTTAAAATTTGAACTGAATGTTAACATGCTTTTAGAAACATAACATGTACGTACATGTACACGTATACATGTATAGCCACTTGGTAATACTATATTGTTATTTTAACAAATCAGAACAAACACCGAGGCCTACATTTATACCGAATACATTGCCCCCGTGTTTCGACTTGAGAGAGGAGTGTAACATTCAAGAACAATGCTGTCCAGATTTGAACTGTTTCGGTGGAACTTGTTGTCGACCACAAGGCGGACGTTGTGAATCCGATGCCGACTGTTGCCAGACACAGCCAGATCAACCCACGGTGTGTGGTCCTGAAAAAACTTGCATGTGTAGGTGTAAACGTTTTTAGCTACTACTGTCCACTGGCGGAACCAGAAGTTAACACGAATTACGCACATTTCAAATCAGACAAACGTTTGCCCTAGTCAGTCAAGTCCAGTAACTAAGTCAACATTCGAAAATAAAAATTTCAAAAATCGTTCATCTTTGATTTCCAAAATAAGTGAGGTGGTTATTTTTATAATTGAAAAACAAATTTGAACATTTTGCATTTCTAAATTGATAAGTTTCTTTGAATACAACATAACTGTTAACGATCTAGGTCATTAATAATATTTCCATTAGCGATCCCATGATAAATAAACAGTAACTGGGTCAATGTTTTATGTTCAACCTTGTTTTCATGACTTTTAAACATGAGTCGATAATTATGTAGGAAATTTCAATTCTAAATGTCAGCGTGTCAACTCGTGTTTTTCACAAAATGTAGCATTTTATCGTGATAGATTGCCAAAATGTACCTCTCAATGAAGCGATATGTTTTTAAATTTAGAGATGTAAGCTATGAACTCAAACAAAAATTCTACCCGCTATTATTTTGATTGCACAAGACGAAATTTCCACTCCCGGGGAGCACTTTGGTAACACTTTGAAGGAGGATTCTAGAAAAATCGCTCGAATTTTCACAAAAGGTTTTATGCACTTTCATTGCCAGACAGCAACTATACATTGGTGCTGAGGGTGCCTATATTGAGCACTTAATAAAGTGAACATTGATCATGAAGTGACCCTGTTATTATTTGTAACTGCACTGCATATCCCAAGAGTTAAACAGTATTATTTGATCATACTGCTTTCAACGCTCAAAATGTCGTTCAAAGTGACGTCAGAACTTTGCCCCGCATATCCATGACACTGGTCACCTTAGTAACAATAACTTTTTTAATACCGATTCGATGTTCTTGACATTTTCATAGAATAAAATCAGATACACGTACCTTATGTTGTGAAAGTTTTATGAAGAAAAAGCAAAAAGAACAAAACTTATAGCACAATTAGCAATACTTATTGTACTTATTGAACGCCCTGTAAACATACATTTATAGTTGGTTCATAATGAAAAATGACAAATAACATACATCTTTTAAGTAGGGGTATACAGGGACATAGTGGAAATTCAGAAATGTAGGCCATATCCCCAAGATTGCTTCACCAATATGTAACAGAACATCAAAATTATCATTTACACGTTTGCTGATAGGTATATTAAAAATAATTAACCAGAGGTTAACATCAATTGTGGCAACATTCTTAGTAAATATTGATGAACATACGAATTTCGAATGTTGACTTAGTAACTGGAATGACTGTAGTGCGGAAAAAATATTGGGCCCTTAATACCAAAAATTGGGGCCAAATTTTGAAAATTTAAGGACCATTTTTGATAATTAATAATAACATGGTGGTTATACCACACTATAAGATGTCATTGATATACCTTGTACTATACATTGTGTTCTAGAATTATTGTTCTTACGGGTTTTTAAGAAATATTTGGAACACGGTTTATAGCATTTAGCTTACTAAGATCGAGATATAATTAGATGTCAGTGTTGGAAAACAGGAAAGTCTTTTCATTATTTAGGAGCTATGTCGGATAAATATTTAAAGAAACCAAGTTCATCTAGTGTGTTATCAGTTTTACTGAAGTGAGTACAGCATTTTATATGATTCGGTTGACTCATTAATTGTTGTAAATGTGGATAACGTTCCCGATTTCGGAGGCTTAATATATTGAAAATGATCAATGTGTATTACCATTGACTCGATCAGATCTTGAGGTATTGAAATTAAAACGATTGATTTACTAACTTTAACAGTTTAATGATTTTGTAAATTGTTAGTTTCCCATTAGGTTATTGGCCATTGGTTATTAATTTCGTGTCTTGTGCTCTTTGTTAGGTGTTGTCTTATCATCACGTTCAGAATCTCCCCCGGGAATCTCCCAATGTCATAAGTTATATGTTCTAAAAATTATAACATCTAATTTATGTAAATGATTACATGTAAACAAGACAATGACATGTTAGACGAGAGATTGTATTTGTATTAAAAAGTAACGTAAGTATTGATTATGTTCAAGCTAATTAATAGTATTTACATAACATTTTACACACTGTCTTGTAAACATAAAAAATAATTCATTAATTAAGTTGTTATCAATTAATCAATAACAGGAGCAGCATATACACATGTTTACCATTTACAGCTGTAATATGTGTCTATCCGTCCCCGCCCGACCATGGATCGATTGGGTCCCCAAGTGCTCCAAATGTTGATGGGACGTTTCTCCCAGGTCAAACAGTAACATTTAGGTAACGGAGAATCATATCTTTATATTTACAAGTAAAGGGATTATTTTTATTTACCAGAAATTCTTGACTTTTCGTGACTTGAATTTTTGTAAATAATCACGAGGTTTGTTTTTCTATTTGCAAAAAATCAAGAAACCAAATATTTTCTACATCATACTACAGTCGAACGAGAAGATACAGGCTAATTGCGTTTTTTCGAGACCCTACCCTCACCTTGTGTGAAATTCAAGATGCTCAAAAGCAACATAAAATCAAAATCTCATTTTTTCTGACTGCCAAGATGCTTAATCGCTGATTTATCCCTAATGAAAAACGGTTCAGACATATGACAGGAATCACCATTTACCATTTTTACCATTGCTGCAGTTCTCGATTGTTTAAAATATTAAGTGACGAAATATGCTACTTGGGCCACAATGAATGACATAAATCCTCTTCTTATATCGAACCACGCCGAATTCTTACCGAAATCATACGAAGTAAATAAATGATGAAAGTAAGTTCGAAGGTAATAGTATACCATACTTAAACAAAATATATCAATGTAAAATAATTGGAGATGTATTGTTGAAATAATATGCATTAAGCAATGAATGACACAAAACAATAGACGATGTTAATTAAGGTCACCTGGCAATCATTATTATATATCAACACTAATGTGCTTTAGATGTGACCAATGCTATTCAATCGATCCCAACGATGATGGGGTTACTGATAATAATGTCAAATGCAAGCCAGATGGCACGTTGGATGACCCTGTTCCAACTTGTTCAGGTACTTATTAACAGGTCTGATGTACACTGTAAATTGACCCTTTTCTGGAGTACTTAAAAATTCCTCTGAAATCTCATTCAAAAGAGATTTTTTCTAATTCAACCAACAACGAACTACACTTTCTTCAACCTGAAGAACTGTTTGAAGTTTATATCTTTATCGATCGATGAGATGTGTAATAAAACTGGCACAGTAACGTAATTGTGTTGCTTTAACATTTAGCATCAGGATTATAGTAGTTTTATTCCTCTCACTTTATACGACCTTATTCTTGTAATATTCGGGGCTGAAGCTATATTATTGATATTGTCCTCTAAAATGCCTATTATACCGCTATCTCAATTATTCTAGAACTCCAATGCGATCTGGCGGAAGCGCCTGAGAATGGATCAAGGTTCCCACCGGAAGGTCCTGATGTGTGCGGAGCTGATGTCACATTTAGATGCGACAATGGTTTTATACCGGGAGGCAATAAAGTTGATTTAGTGAGTTGTGTCCAGAAAGGAAATACAGTTGAATGGGACAACGATCCTATGACTTGTGTTCAAGATAAGGTATGTAGCACCTTAAATGAGGGATGTGGAAATGGAGACGAGGAATGTTGTGCTGCGGACCAATTGAAATGCTCTCTTGAAAAGAGATGTGAGTAAATTGATTTAAGTTAATCCAAATTAAAGTCCAACAAATCCTAATTACAAGATTACACAAGGTTATCTGGTATATATTATGCCTGCTCCGATTCATCGGCCGGGATCCGGCCGACTGAGTATTTTGTTCAAAATTGCAGTTTTGAACAAATAACTCAGTCGGCCGGGCGCCGACCGATGAATCGGAGCAAATGCGACCCAAGCGTTACCCTGGATAAACGTATTTGAACACGTGTATATTATTCCCACCATTAGATATAAACTAATCGACTTGATTGATAAGGTTGTCGAGATAGAACTGGAATATGTGGAGACGATAGTGACTGCTGCAGAGGTCTGGTGTGTAGTGACGAAAATGGGTGTCAGCCTCGTAAGTTGGTGACTCTGTTTCTATTAATCTTGACATGCTAGATTACTTTATTTTTAAATTATCTGTTCAAATCATAACCAACCATTCAACTCCTAAAACGCATACCTTTGTTCTGGAGCTCGAGCTACACAGTCCAGGCTCTGAACAAAAACAGTTTAACAGGAGTAAGATCCATCAGTCTTATCACTTATGAGTTTAGTTTCCCAGCTCTGGCCTTATTAAAATGTTATTCTACACGCTGAAATATTGAGAGATGTGAACGATTTGATATACCAATCTGTCATTGATCTATAAAGAAAGCTCTACTTGGTTTATTTATTTTTTCAGCTATCGAGATTATTTGTGAAGACCCACAAGATATTGTGTTTGCTGTGGACACTTCATGCTCAATCGCTACTCAAGACAAAGACAGGATTCGCTCCTTTATGGTGGAAATGGCCCGAGCTTTTGATCTCAGCACTGATCCAGACGATGGTGTACAGATGGCTGCATTGACATTTAACGATGGATATCGAGATGTTGCCTGGCTAAAGGACGCCGAAAATCCTGAAAAGCTTATTAAAGACATTGAAAACATGGGGCTTAACGTTGAAAAAGAAGAGGGTTGCAAAACGCATACTTTTGCTGCACTAGCTGCAGTCAAGAATCACTATTTTACTGCTGCTAACGGAGACAGACCAAATGCTGTGAATAAAGTTATATTGTTGTCAGATGGTGTCACAAAGCCTGGTGGTAAGTTATCAGTTATACATGTGGAATGGAAAGTCACAAATGAAAACATTTGAAAACATTGCAAATCAATTGAACCACATAAACTTTTGTAAATAATTTAATTGAAATGTCTACAACCAATTTTTATATGAGCCTTATTAAAGAGATATTAAGTCTATAATCCATTTAGAAGTGCACAAGTTATACAGGGCGTATAAAAAACGCAACAAGTAGTTATCTCGTAAAATCACAAAACTAGTGATGACTACATCAATTCCATTCAATGTACCATAAAGCCACGTCTCTCCTCTTTGCAATGATATGTCATTCATTCACATTTGGTAGGGCCTTAATGGTTGGGTGAGAAATCCTAAAGGGCTAAGTGCCAGTGGAAGTTCCCCTGACTTGAATTGTTGTGACTTTTTTCTTTTGGAGCTATCTCAGGAGCATCTGTGCTCACAATTCCTCCTCCAGATATTGCAAAACCTCGAGAAAGAATTGCCCATGGGCTGCTTTTCTCTGCTTTAACCCACAGATTACTGATCAGGGCTGAACCATGCATGAAGTGGACAGAGGGGCGCATCATTATGTACAAGGAAGTGGAGGCAATTTGGAGGGGTCTAGGATGTATTCTTGCAAGAGTATGAATATGAACACTTTACTGTCTATGCCACATCTGTCACACCTTCTTCCAATAGCTTGTACTGACTTTTGCAATGTTTAAAACTTGGGTCCGAGCTGAATTTTGCCCCACTTTGCAAAATAAATGATTATTCGGCCAGCCATGACTCCCTGTGAATGAATGATATTCCGTTGCAAAGAGGAGAAATTTAGCCTTTTGGTACATTGAATGAAAAGGATGCAGTCAGCATTGGTTTTATGTTTTCTTCCAATATAGCATCGGGCTATGTACACTGACTTTTGCGATGTTTATAACTTGGTCCCAAGCTAATTTTGGCCCACTTTGCAAATGGAATGATTACTCGCCCAACCATGACCACATATCAAGGAATGATATATCATTGTAAAGAGGAGACATATGGCTTTATGGTGCATTGGATGAAACCAATGCTATTATCACTGGTTTTGTGCTTTTCCGAGATAACAATCTGTTGCGTTTTTTTTATACGCGCTGTATATGAGTCTCAAATAATATTCACTTGATCGAATGTTTCAAGCTAATTGTATCTATCACAATGGTCTTGAAAGTCAACGTTTCGAAACATGTCTTAGATAATTCTTTTCGACATAACAAATGACATTTGAACAATCGAACAATACAAATATCTAAGCACAAGTGCAAAGGGAGAGGACTAAAAATTCTAAGTGCCAACCTGTCAAAAGAAAATTATACCCTATACAAGTGTATATCCCAAAACCATGATCTAACATGAAAATTATGTCTGACATCCCCCTTTCCCCTCCAATCGAGAGCCAATATTACAATCCAGGACCAAAACAACAATGGACATTTCATTTAAATACTGAAGTCATTACAATACATGTTGAAAAAAATTAAAAGAAATAATAGCCAATACTCATAACATCAAAAATAGTTGTAGACATGAAATAGCATTCAGTCTCAAATGATTCGGGATAGACATTTAAAAGCGTCAACATTAAATTGAAAAGCCGTCGTCACAAGCATTGTCACCAGGAGAAAACTACGGCTGGTTTCAGTTCCCTATTTCTCAACCATTTATGCCATAGCTGGGATCCACCTTAAAAGGTGACAAGTGAAAACATCGTGAGTTCATTCCAATTTCCTAAAAATTCCAACATCATTCAGCATCTTCAATGGTATAACTTGAAACTTTGTAATTAAAGACCTAGCTATATTTTGAACACGTCCTGCTATATCTAATAAGCTGAGATACATAAACCCCATATGCTGGGTTCAGTGGAATATTACTATCCAAATGCGGAAAATTAACAATGTCAAAATTAAAGTCATCTTTTTTGTCATGTAACTTATATACTATTGTCCAAAGGCCGGTATCGAAAAATTTGTCCGCTGTGACGGAGCGTGCTATTTTGCATAGAAACACTAAGAAACCCACACAATTTATTTTTTACTCATATGTTTCGTTAAACCAAAGAAAATTACTCACTCCATGCAATGGATATATCAGTTGTTTTCAAGTTATATATGAGTTCACAATCCACTTGCCTAAGTCAAACTGCCTATTCCCAAGGTCAAAGTGATTATATACAAACAGGAATTGCATTTTGTATTTGTAAAAGCAACACTTAAATATATTTATTCTGTAGGAAAGCAGAGCGAGACATTCAAGAATGCAGCTGCCCTTAGAGAAGTCGCCGAGATCATTGTAGTAGGTTTACCACAGGGTTGTGAGGAAGGCAAGAAAAAATGTCAACCTAAAGTCATAGGTCAAGAAGAATGGTTGGGTATCTCGGGAGCTAACGAAAACCCAGAATTAATGATGAATATATTGAACACTGACTTCGCGAAACTTCGGGAAACAATTGGAAACATTGGGAAATCGATCTGTGGTGAAAATGCTGTGATTGAAAACTAACTTAAAATTTAATATAAATTTAAGGATTTTATTTGTTCTGTTTTACGTGTCTAATGTCAGTTAAAATATAGAATAAATAATTGATATTACATAATTGCATAGTATCGTGTCTTAAATAAGGATGAGGAGGGTACATCCACTGATCAGTATTAAGCGTAGGTAACGACCGTAACTTTCGCATCAAAGATGCTGTGTGTCGATTTCCATATTTTCAGTTTTCATCGAACTTAACTACGTCATAGGTGACGTAATACTCTGACACGTCGCAAAAAGTTCGCGCACGTATTGTTACTCATTTTCGTTTTTTAACACCACAGAATGTTACGTTTTTTGAGAAAAATGTACACATACCTGTATGGAAATCCTTTCGTCCTCCACACTTGCCTCTATATCTCAAAATATTTAAGGCAAATAACTTTGATATCGTATATGTATTAGCAATGGGTTGGGAGCATCAAAAAACACGAATCAATTGATATTTTCATTAGGTAAAATAAAAAATATGTGTTGCTGTGTTTAAAAATAGGTGAATGGCGTAAATTCGCCCTATTTTAATGACTTTTGAAAACCTTCCGTCATCCAATTTTCCACATACAACAGAAAACATATACGTTTGCGAACAAAATCAGCTATTTATTAAAAAACTAGAGTTTATGAGCAAAATAATCATGTATGATATATTAAAAATTGGTCTCGTATTTTTTGTTTAATGTACACTTGAAAAGTTGAAGGTAACAAAAAATGAGCAAAAAAGGTCGCAGTCTACAGATTCTATTTTTCAAACTATATGACGTCACAATATGTGACGCTTATTAGAATTCATCCTTTAAAATAACACTTCCATCTACCTTTATCAAGACGAAAATAAAGTATAATAGTCAAATATTGTTTGAGTTATGTGCGTTTAAAGACGAAAAATTATTCAAAATGTAACGTGTCGACAGCGGATATTTGGCAGATTTTCGGGTAAAAAACACTTTTTTGAAAAAGAACACGCAAGAATTGTGAAAGTAGTGTACTTCATTAAAGCAGCTTTAAAATGATATATAATTTTGATTAGAATATTATCTTATATTCCGAAGAATTAAAGTTACAATCATGCGATACCCTAAAAACAGCTTTTTGCGACGTGTCTCTGATATTTGAACTATATCAGGCATATATGACATGAAAACTCTGGAGTATGATCATTTGTTCATATACCATGCGTGGGCGCCGCAGTTCAAAGATATCTTCCAGGTAAATGGGATTTTGATTTACAGATGATAAGATAACTGATATGCGATAGTTTGAATCAATGACAATAACGCAGTTGCGAGTAAGTAGTTACCAGTTTCACCATTAGGTGGCTCGTTCGGGTCAGATAGCATGGCGGGTATAGCAGAAAGTTCCCTTTCACTTAAATTACATCTGTTTTAGTGGTTCAATTCCCATATAACCTTACCCTTTTAGTGATTTTGTAACATAGGGTCTATGGGGAATCAACCCGAACTAGAAGTCACATTTTCAAAAAAATTAAATTTTCAAACTTGATAAACAGTTTTCGAAACCATATTTCTAGATGTACTTTTACATGTAGATTTCAAATATGACATCGCTTTGACTGATTTTTGAATATTCAATGACGTAAATCAAGATTATTTCTACTCGCATCTAGTCTATTAAAATATCGATAATTACTGTCTGCCATCTTAGATGCGAAGCTACGGCCGTTACCGTCGCTTAATACTGACCAGTGCTATCGGTGTATCGTTACATTTCGATGTAGCAGCATAAACATTCTTGCGCAAAGGCTCGGTAAACAACGCCCAAAGCGAGTATAAAGAGAGACTAAAAAGTCTACATTTTGTAATATTGTTATGATTTTTTATGTACCTAAAAAACGATACAATATTGTCGTCAGTTTGACGGGCGGGCAGCGTCTCACTTTCTTGTCATCACGATTCCAGGGAAACCACTTCAAATTTTCACATAATGTATGCTACATGGTAAGAAGTTCTAGAGCTGATTAACTTTTGGGCGGCCATCTTGCATTCTAGTGGCCATCTTGGAAGTTTTTAGTTACATCTTGTCGTCACGATTCCAGGAAAACCACTGAACGGATTTACTTCATATTTTCACACATGTTACATGGTAAGAGGTTCTAGACCTGATTTACTTTTCGGTGGCCATCTTGGAAGTTTTTAGATAAATCTTGTTATTGCGATTCCAGGAAAACCACTTAACGGATTTACTTTCAATTTTCACACATGTTACATGGTAAGAAGTTCTAGAACTTATTAATTTTTGGGCGACCATCTTGGAAGATTTTGGATAAATCTTGTCATCCCGATTCATTTCACTGCTAGGCCTATATATATATCTACTTACTCATATTTACATGACTTATTTTTTTTAAGTCAAATGTGTGCCCATTCGGTAGTCAGTAGGCAGATATTCAAAATTGGATCCAAATTTATTAATTCTTGGAACTCTGACGTCACTTGAACATGTATGTAATATAATACATGGGCCGCCTTGATCATTTATTTATCTAGAAATCGCCCATTTTACTCCGCTTTGATGGCGCTTTAAAGCAGCGTGCAAAGTGGCTTTGTACGTCGCTTTAAAGCGCCATCAAAGCGCCGTTGGTGTGAACCTAGCTTTAATCAAGCTTTTACGCATTGGTGTCGCTTTGCACGTCGCTTTAATGCGCCATCAAAGCGCCGTTGGTAACATGCAAGAATACAGAGTGAGCCAAAAATACAACCCTCTAATTTTAGTATAACATTCAATATTATTACCGTAGGTTTGAAATGGTGATGTTGAACTGATGTTAACGCCATTCCCACGATTTCAAATTTAACTAATAACTTTGCCCATGCGCAGCACTGAGAGAGCACGTGCTCATGATTGTCCACGTGATCACATTCTGAAGTTTGACTCTTAGGCTAGTTTGATTGGAGATATCGATGATGCGGGAGATGACGTAATGGGGAATCACCGAATACGATAGAATATGAAAGAATTGTGGGAGCTACTCACTTCTTCTGATGCCTGCTGTTATTTTACTTAATTCTTTTTATGAACGTTGTTCATCATGGTAGCATCTAGACTCGTCATTTTAGACTGGCAAACACTTCAGTTACATCCGTTCATAATGAAAATTAGTGATTCCACAAATTTCATGTTGATACGCATCATAGATTGGTTTGCTTGTCAGAAAGTTCAAACGTCAAATATGGCTGAAATCGATACATAAAATGTTATTTAATGATGCCATCGTTCCCTGGTTTCATACTCGACAGGCGTATTATAGTGTTAGATAATAGTGGTACGTAGTGAAATGAATGGATTTATCACTCTGGTCTTTTCAATTTTCATTTTCTTCAAAGATGGATATACAGCGAATGCTATCAACCCACCAAAAGGTATTTGTACATGCTTCAATAATTTTGATAGTACTAATAGTTGGTAATTATAAATTAATTTCATTGAAGAACTAAATCTGAATGCAATAAACGTAGGCGAAGAAATTTTAGAAGCCTTGTTGCCAATTTACCTTTGAAATCTAGTTGAAGTTCCATTTTTAAGATGTATAATTTCTAACTTTCAAGATCTGAAAAGGACGGGGATAAATCCTCATGCTTATGCATTAATCCATACGGCAATTGAATGGGAATTACAGTTGGTTCTCGAGAGAAAAGAGCAGACCAATACTTTTTGTAGGTCTATTTGGGAAATGTCAAATTATATCTTTCAATATATATATATATATTGACTATTTCTAGAATGTTCTTTAAAAATTACCGGTTGGAAAATGTCTGATCCTGATGACGCATGTTACTTTTTCGAATGTGATGGGAGATTTTGGCAACATCGTTTGTGTCTCAATGGATTCGGTGGAGTACCTAAAAACGCCCGCAAGCAGTATGCTAAAAACTTCATGACGAAGATGAATCTATGCAGAAAATATGAACACAGCTGTATTTCCACAATTCAAAATATTAAAAGTAAATATCCTTTCATTGATAACTTGGGAAATAATGGGAGTTGTAAAATCCAGTTTATTGAAATTGTCTTTGAGATGAAGTAATCCGTTTATAATGATTCTGAAAACATTATTGAGAGAGTGATTGTTCAAAGAATACATGTACAACAGCCAATATAAATCCTTGTTTTGTTTCATTTGGAAGATGTTTCATATGCCAAGCTGTGTTATAAAATGTTATGGGGGAATTTAGATTTTTCCTTATTATACACAAATAGAAGATCCTGAAAATTCACTCAAAGTAAAAATCTACCTTTTATAAATGTGTGACGATCTATAATATACCAGTACTTATGCTATGTAACAGTTAGAGGTGTTGACAAGTACAACTTTACGACCTCGAGCCTGTGAACCCTTGAGTATTATTCCGGGATCGGGCCTTTCATACTAAACGGTGAGCAACACAAGAGACGAGCGGCTTTGCACGGCGCTTTAAAGCGCCATCAAAGCGCCGTTGGTGTGAACTTAGCTTAAACGATATGCGTCACCCTTAACATAAAACGTATATTCTCTCGCAAAATCCCATAAAGATACTCGAGATATGTACACGTATCGTTAAGCCTATGAGCTCAAAAGACAATTGGCCGAGCTCGATGATACTAATATTTTTTATTTCACAGTCTTGGTTCTAGTTCTGTGAAACATGCATTTGTGAAACATATATCAAGACTTGATTGTTTGGTTAGAGCTCAAGACAATGTGTTCCATATATTTTAGCCATACCTCAGGAATGCTCTGTGTAAACGTTAGATGCCAAAGTATCTTTAACGATTATAAAAAAGAACCGCGTGTTTTAACAGATCCAGAAACAAGGGCGTCATATACCCCAAGACCGTTGCCGCTCTGTAGACCTGAATCTGAGCGTTGTGATGTAAAAGAACAGTGTTGTGATATAGATGGCGAAAGTGCGCAATGCTTTGAGAATAAGTGCACGTCACCAGAAAGTATGTATATAAGTTTTACTTTTTGTTTCGTTTTTCAATGAATGCCAATGTATTCAGGTCCAGAATTCACCTTCATTTTATACTTTAGGCTAAATATCAAGATTAGACTAATGATAGGGTGAATGCATATGAGAATATAGGATGGTAAAATCTTTAAAATGCGAAAACCAGTGTGACTAGCCAAATGTGTTCGGATTGGTACTGGTAGGTGTTCGCATTTTGAGGTTTCTAACATGATGTCCCATGGCAGATAAAAACATAACACAAGGCGCTATTCAGAACAGCGTTTCCATAGTGAGCGCCGTTCAAAGCGGCTTTGCACGCCGCTTTAAAGCGCCATCAAAGCGCCGTTGGTGTGAACTTTATCAACTGGGGCCATTTTTCAACACCACTTTGTTAGATATCAAAAACGTATGTTTTAAATCTACTTATGTCAAAAAAAGTGTAGTGCTGTATACATAGCAAGTGCAATTCAATGGTTTTGTTGTCATAACTGACTCCACTATAAGTCAAAATCGATATATCAATGGGGAGATATATTCCAATTGCCATCCAGCCTCCATCGAAAGTATATAAGATTTCATTATTTTCTTTTATATAAAGAGTGATGCATAATTAGTGCTGTAATATACGTTTAATAATGTTTATCCACAGAATCATTTTGATTGAATACAAATAATATATCTTTATTAGCCCGTCCTCATTTGTCGATTTTCGTATTAAAATTAAATTACCTTTCAAGTGAATTATAACATATTGTTACATTATGAATTATAATCAATTCTATTTGCATACACTGGCAGATGACATCAAATACATCGACGCTGTGTAACTAGAATTTAAAACAAACTTGTCCGAAATAAAACAAAGGCAACTCCCTTTAGAGTTCACCAAATTACATAAACACATCCATTTATATTGCAAAATCTTATTCAGTTGGCTGTAATTCAGTGTTTTTATGACATCGTACATGTTCAGGAGGCAAAAACAGTTTCGACTTTTGAACTTGTGTAAATGAACCGTGATTTTAACAAATTGGGGAGGGGTTTCTTGTACATCATATAAAAAGGATATATGTGGCATCATCTGTCAGTGGCATGCCTTGGTGCAGAAATACAAGTGTTAACAGTTGCAATTTTATACGTAAGTCCACGTGTCAACAACGGAATGGGTCACCTCAATGAGTTCAAGATTCCTTGACTCATTCCGTAAAACACGGACTTGCATTGAATCTTTTAAACTGTTGTAAAATCGTTCAAAACGGAGGTATTACGAACGACACAGACCTAATCAGTTCTGGTAGGACTAAGATACCAGTCGCCAATAAGTTACATTGGTTTCGATAATTGGAGTTTCAAAAAGTTATGACAGCTTTTTTCATTTTTTCACGTTTTGCGAATGTAAACAAAGGAGGTTGGGACCCTAAGGCTTTTTCATTCTCCTATCCACAGATATTTATTTGTTTTCTATAGAAAGTACAATCAATTCACTAAGCGTGTGCTATACATTATCACCCCCAAACGTACAGTGAAACATAATCTTATTATGATTATAGTATCATTACTATCAGATCATTTGCAGACCTAGTTTTGTGAATCATCATCTTAAAAGTGGCTTATAATGTACCTTACAAAGCCGCTAATGTATTTGTGTTTATTGTTATAATTTGAAATAAAGAAATACAATATATAAAAAAAGATAATCTTTATTTCCGTAGGATAAGGTCAGTAATTTTCATAAAATGGCCAATTTTATTCCGTATTAATGTAAACAAATCGACTAATACGGAATGGTGACCCACACTAGGTCAAGTGGTTGTATTTCATTTGTCCCACCTTTTTAAGATTCTGTCTACGGCACTGGTTTTTAGAAAAGTTGATACATCAGTCTTATTGTTTGTCTTGTAGATTTGCAATGTGCTAATATTGGAGAAGGATGCAATGGGAAACATGCTACAAATCAAGGATGTTGTTCAAATGACCCAAAAGATCCAAACATCAGGCTTTTTTTAAAGTGTGATGCAAATGAACAATGTGAGTTAAACCTTTTTACTTCGATTTTTTATACAAAGCAAATGTAAGTAGGAGTTTGTGATACACTGTATCCGCATCTTCGGCTGATCTATCCATTCCATCATTCATTTATTCAAGGATGCAATTTTCATCAAGCTCTTATTACGAAAGTATACCAAATTATCATCTGAAATTTAAATTAAAAACTCCCACGAAGGCGCTAGTTCATTTGGAGAGCTTCTCAGGAAATTATGACTTTTTATTGATAGGTTGTGGCCTAGAAAGACAACCGTGTACTGAGGGTGGACAGTGCTGTAAAGACCAAAACCTGATATGTGAAAATGGAAAATGCTCGAGTACATACCACCTTTTTATGCGAAACGATGTTCATATCGTCTCTTATATCATAGTTACTAAGCGACGTTTGTTGTTTATCTTTTGCTATTATTGTGTCCCTTGCCGTTTTGCATTTATTTGGTGAAACTACTTTACATTATATCTATTTATTAGTGTTCATTGTCACAGACTTTATTACAATTTTTTGTTTCAGACGTTTCGAATGCAAACTGCTTCAATAAGCACTAAATTTAAATTGAAAACAGTTGAAATGAATACGTCATTAAACCTTAACAACGTCAAAAAATTATTAATTGCTATGGCAATATAACTTCATCTCACAAGCGATCTACATTGAAGTTGCCCATGATTCTTTTGAAGTTTTTATGTTTTCTAATATGAATGGCTTCTCTTATCAACCTATTGTTTCTGTTCCTTTCTTTGCTAACTATTTTATAATTGTTCCAATCAATTTTGTGGTTTCTTGGAGAATATGATCTGTAATCGCTGATTTATTAACGCTGTTAAAAGAATCTTTTTTATTGTTTCTACTGTATTGACTCTTTTTCTTATCTGCTTCTGTTTTATGTTCCTTGATGCGAGTGCCAAGAGGTCTACTTATTTCTCCTATGTAATAATAGTAGATTTACCTGTATTCATTTCAACTGTTTTCAATTTGAATTTAGTGATCATGGATGCAGTTTGCATTCGAAACGTCTAAAACAAAAATTGTTATAAAGTCTGTGACAATGAACACTAATAAATGGATTTAAGTTCACCAGACTATGAACTTACTTTACATTATGTTGTAGGAATAGATTGCCCATACCCGATTGCATCTCCAAATTGTGGTATTACCTCAAGGAGTGCAAATAATGACAATGGAAGATTCAAAGTGGGAGAAAGGGTGTATTTCAAGTGAGTAGTAAGCTGCTAGTTTTGCATCACGCACTCGTGTACCCTTGCGTTATCATCCAGAGTCAGACACGTGTAAATAAACAGAAGGAATAGGGATCAAAGAAATGAAGAGACAACATTTCGTAAATATTGAAACAATCTTTGCTTGATTTTAGTTCAGATCCTTGTTATTCATTGGATATAAGTGATGGAAGTGGAGAATTCGTTGAGTGTATGCCAGATGGGACAGTCAATCCCAAAATGCCAAGATGTAAACGTAATGTAACGAAGTATTATTTTAAATTGTGATTATTCAACCAATAACTATCCCTGAGAAACAGTAAAAAGCGTGATAAAAACCACTATCGTGATTTTTCATTAATATCAAATTCGGGTTATCTATTTATCACGGGTATTCAAACATTCATTCCGCGCTTTTAGAAAAGGTGTGCGACGAAGTGGAGGCGCCAGTCAATGGAGAGCGTGATCCTAGTCGTGGACCCGACGTCTGTGGAAGTTTTATCGGGTTTGATTGTGATAGTGGATATGAGTTGAAGGGCGCTGAAGAAATTCAATGCACAGAGGATGGTTGGACTGATATTCCACCTGTCTGTGAAGGTACAATTTTTCGTAATTTCCGTAAATGTGTTTTTGATCAGTACGGTCATTGCGGTTTTTGCGTTAGAGCGTTTTAAGGCAAAATCTAGGTTGTCCTTCATCTATCCATTTTAGGAGAGTCTGATTTATTATATACTTACATTCGCAACAGTCATTTTATATCATCCTACTATTGTTAATTATAAAGATATGCCCCTAGATACTAATACTTTTTTCCCGAATTGGTAGTCAGCGGCAATATCTGAATATTTCACATCACATTTCAAGCAATATTATGCTTAGATTAGTCTCCTGTGTTTGACTTCTGGCATTCAAATATCATATTTCCCATACTGTGTCATTCATTGCATTTGGACAGAGCCTGAAGATGAAGAATGCGCAGATTTGCATGGGCAATGTCATCGTGGAGAAAACACTGGAAATGGTGCACTGCCATGTTGCGAAGCCAACGATCTAAAATGTTCCAGGGCATCAACCTGTGAGTAGTTTTATATTTCTATACTGGACGAGGATAATGTTCCAAAGTGATGGAGATACTATATCTAGTAGTACCACCAACCTAACGAAATGTTAGCAGATGATAATAATACCTGCTGGTCCAATAGAGGAGTTTCTATATAGCTTTGAAACCTCACTAATTCTCATTTTTCGTGAGATTTTAAGAGATTTGAATATAAATCTCCAATGACTTACTTTTCCTTCTTTTTAATAAAGTCAGTCAAAATTTTCAAAATGATAACCTTGATTCATACAGTTGTGTTATTCAAAATAATGACAGTCTGGCCCAACTAAAACAAATAAAAACAAATGGTGACATCTATTCATTCAGCTTAATTCAGGTATATAGCAGCTCCCTTATTTAATAGGTTGTAGAAACAGGGGCGGGGTCTGCTCTGATGATACTGAATGCTGTATTGGTTTGATCTGTACCGCTCAAAAGGAATGTGAACCTCGTAAGTCTTTAGATTTCTATTTCATACCCAGGCTTTTTGTTTCAAAAAGGTTACTTTGAAATGATTTACGATTCATTATTTTGGCTACAAATTGTAATAATCATTACTTCACGATCTCTTTCAGCGATCTCCATCATATGTAAAGAACCAGTCGATATCGTATTCGCAGTTGACACATCGTGCTCCATTGTCCCGATAGACAAGGAGAACATTCGAACATTTATGACAGAAATGGCCAGAGCATTTGAACTTTCAACAGACCCTAATCGTGGAGTACAAATGGGTGCATTGACATTTAACGCAGAAACGACGCCCGTGACTTACTTAAATGATGCGAGCGATCCTGAAAAAGTAATAACTAAAATTGAACACATGGAACTGAATCTTGCAAATGATAAACTTTGCAGAACTTCAACATTTGATGCGTTAAAAATGACAGAAACAGAATTTTTCAGTGTTGAAAAAGGAGATCGCCCAAACGTAAAGAACATAGTCGTACTGTTATCAGATGGCGCCACAAAACCAGATAGTAAGTACATCGTCAAAATATCTATATTGAAGTAATTCAAGTAAACATTGTCCCTAGAATTTTCCATATTTTCTCTGACATTTATCGGGAAGTGAATGAATTTTCTGCATATGTTTTCCAAGTTATCTTACCGAAAGTCACCATCAGATGGTGGAATTACAAATGCATTCAATCGTATTCACTTTTGCTTTCAGATAAACAACCAAGGACATTTCAGTACTCAGATGATCTACGGGAAAAGGCAGAAATCATTGTTGTTGCATTACCACAAGGATGTGATCCAAAGAAGAACAAATCCAAATGTTCCCCAAAACTAGTAGGCTGGGTAGAGTGGAATTACATTGCAGGCGGGGAAAGAAATGTGTTCAGTGCGAACTTTACGGCGCTGAGAACAGTAGTTGAACATCTCGGAACACGTGTGTGTGGAAGAAATAGCTTCACAATAAATTAATAATTAATTAAACCATTATATTAGGGTTCTTGTGGAAGATAACAATAACAATGAATAATACAATTTATTGAAATATGTGTAGCCTACATAAGTTTTTATTATTTCCAAAGGCAGTGTGTCATGTAGCTGCAAAATTCAACCTTAGCCAGCCTTGTGCCCATGCAAGTTATTCATTCTTTTTACTTGGAGTTCTAATTTTTTTTAGATTTCAGTAATTTCAGTGATTCAATAATTTATATGGAGACAAGAAACTAATCGATCGATGTCTCGGCAAACACGACTTAAAGTAAAATAGTTTATATGGACTGTTACTTTTTAAATTATCCATCATCAATGGATTCATAACAGTCATTTGAAATCATAGAATAACGTAATAAGTGTAATTCCTTATACTTGAAATCTGCGATAAAGTATAAATACTGTATTTGCAGGGAGGAAATGTTTTAAGTTAAAACTTTCAATTGAGGACGTGGTATACAAACTTGGTCTAGAGCCAACAAAAAGGTCTAAAAATCAAGCTCAGAGTCCCGTTTAAGAACCCCTATTCTTACAATTGAAATTGAATTCTACCAATACTATCCCTCATGAATCTACTTGAGACTTCTTTTGAGAAAATGAGGATTTCAGCAAGGATGCCATTGACTTAACATTGGGATGCAATTGAGGGGTTTGGGTAAAAGGCGTTTGGCTGGGCGTGGGGTCTACAGGGCAGGGTGCTAAAAAATGGTCTGGGTAAAAAGGCGTGGGGTGTTGTATTTAAGGAATAAACGAAATCCATTCTGAAACCATCAAGTTCATATATATTTATAATCGAAATTATCGAAACAATCGAAATACACACTGCAGCTATAACTTTTCTTCTTAAGAAAATTTCGAAAATATTGATGTTTTCTAAATATATTCTAAACTATAAACTGAGACTATAAAGAGTCAACAGTTTCATTCCGATTAGATAAGATTGGCCAAACATATGTTTTCCAAGAATGGATGGCTAAAAAAACAATAAAAATGCATTGATGTATGTATGTATCTTTTATTCCCGATTTCAATCGGATTTCATATAAACTAATTACATTGTTAGATTAATACAATAAACATAAAACATAAAACATAAACATAAACAAGGTCACAACATATTTACAATCTTTAAAAGTAATATAAAAATTTCAGATTACAAGATCTTCTGCAAGTTTATGCAAATAAAGGTACAAGACTAATCCCTGAGTCTGATATCACTATATGAATGTATCTCAGGATGAGTTCTAAGTTATGTATCTCAAATGACTCAGAGGCAGGGCCGCACACAGAAGCACAAATTTCTCTTGGATCAAACACTGGATGGTTGTTGGGTAACGCAATGTCATTAATGAGTTTATTCCTCATGTGATTGTACTTATTACAGTCGATTAGCATGTGATTTATGGCATCCTTATAGTATTTGCCACATCTGTCGCAAAGAAGGGTTGAGTCACTGATGGGCATGGCTAGAACTTTGACTGCTGTGAGAATCGGTTACAGAAACGGTATGGGCTAAAAGTGCAGATCTTAACTGTTTTTCGAAAAACCGTTTATGTAACTTAAGTGAGGAATTAAATCAACGATTCTGTTGTCTCGTGAACTATGTGTTCGCAAATATGTACATTTTCTTAAACATATGATACTGATATAGGTTTGTAATAAAAAATGTCGTGGGAATTCTCCCTACAACGTGTGAAATAAGGAAAAAAGAAAAATCGTACCTTCGATGTTCCGACATTTTGTTACCGAAACGAACCGTTTCGGTAACCAGCGTAATCGAGTGGATCACCAATGTACTGGGCATGGACCTAGAGTCCTGAATATAAATATAAGTATAGTATCGTTTGCAGAAGTGATAAGCTCAGGATTAAAGATTCCTAATTGATATAATATTAATGTGCTGTGTCAAGGACATTGTTACAAGATCATGTTAAAATATTATGTACATGCGTTTAGAAAGATTGGTTAAAAACTGTAGAAGTGGGAGACCTAGTGTCATTACTTAGTGAACACCATGCACATTCAAATATAATTGATTGTCTTGACTCTTCCTTGACTGTCACTGGCTGCCAGCTATGTAGATTTAATCCTAGTTATGTAAACAGATACTAGTTGGCGCTTCTTAACATTAATTAAACATCTAATAAGGTAATTATTAAGATATGCCAGGCAGTGAATCTTATTGGAGCAGTTGGAGCTTAATGCCTATGGTGTATTATCTGACAGCAAGTATCACCACAATGTTTTATTGCCATAACATTAACAAGTAGAATCAAAGTGTATCATCAAAGTCAATTTAAATTATACTAATAGCTAAAAATGAAAGTACTCTAATCACAATTACCTGTATCAATCTAATTTGGTGTATCTAGAATTTGAGTCTAATTTATGTTTGTGAATGTATGTATTTCTGGGTGAGTACATCCGGGAAATACATGTGTTATGGTTTGTTATTTGAGTTGAGGATGATAATACAAAGAATTCATTACTCACCTATCAGCTGATTGGTGCTCTGTTTATTTTCTATTTCCAGTTTGTTCATTTTCATGTCATAGATTTTACATAATTATCCAGCAACTGTCTAATGTGCATGCAACTGTATAATATCTATTTATTGTTTGTACTTTTTATGTTTTCTCTTTGTGTTGAATCAATATGTCTGTTACTTTAAAATATGCATAGCACCGTTGGACATATTTTCACCTGTTATTTGGATGGACAGATAGACTGTCTTTATCTAGATTTTCTTTATCCAGATTGTTATTATTGCACAACAATGCATGAGATAGGTTTTGCCTTATTTTTATAAATAACTCTTGATAAATTGAGTGTTTGCAATATTTTTTTTGCATTTTTAAGTCCTCCATCACTTCTAAGTACTTTTTATTTGTGTATACTGATTCAACTTTAAATTAATATAACCTAATTAGCTGTTGGAGGGGGTGCCTTAGATTTAAATTTTCTCAAATTCTGCTGGCGGAAAGTGAATCAAATCTTTTAAACCTTGCAAAAGATACTCTAAACTCAAACACATAGAAAAAAGTACTAACTTTCCATGAGGAGAATTTTTCCTATATCAGTTTAAATTTAATGGACATTAAGATGATCCAAACTCAGAGAAATGGGTAGAAAAGTTCAGATTTTAAATCATCCCAAGTGAATCATTATCTCCTTAATGTCTCAACATCAACGAGTAAGTCAAGCCCTTTAGAAATAGTTTGTACAAGAGAAAGATACTCTTACTAACCCTACTATAACACCAAACTAGTTCTCATTTCGTTCTCGAAAACGGGCTTCAACTGTGTACGAACGGACTGGACGTACTTAGAACCGTTTGGGGTCTATTTACAAACTTCATCGAACGTACGTACTAGAACGGGTAGGTCCTCTAGAAATTAGAACATGCTCAAAATGCTCTCGTGGTCGTCACGTTCTACAATTAGAACGAGTGACAACGTACTAACGACGAGCTGGACGTACTACGAACGGAACCGTCGTACTTCATTCCTACTAGTTTTTACAACGAGTTGAACTGCCTGAGGACGTATTGAGAAGGAGGAAGAACTAATTGCAAACGGATTTAAACTGATTTGGAACGTATTAAAGACTGCTTATGAACGAGTTAGCAAAAATATAGCTATCACACCAAACAAGTTGCCACTGCGTTCTTCAAAACTGGTTTTAAACTGTGTGCGAACGAAATGAACGTAGCTGCAACTTTCTAAGGACTATTTACGAACTTCAACGTTCTCAGACGGGAAGGTGATTTTAGAATTTTGAAATGATTCAAAATTCGATGCCGATCATACCGTTCTGGTATCAGGTCATGATGACCTTCTAGACTAAGGGACGCGTTATACGACGTTGCACACCGACGTGGTGCGACCTGAACGAACTGCGAATGAGATGGACGTATTGAAGACTTTTTATGAACGAAGTAGCTAATTATCTTTTTATTTTTTCCCGACCACAGCCAAATTGAGCCCGTTTTACGACGTTTTCGTAGGACTGGCAAGAACGGGTAAGAACGGGTTTGATGTGATAGGGGGGTAAGTCTTAGGGTTAGTTTAAAGCATTCAAAATACGTATTAAAAAGGGAAGAACCTCAGGCATTTTGATGCCCATTATGTTGCTAGGCAACAGCAGCAAGTAGTGATTTATTTCAGTTTAAACAGCATTAAGATTAGCCTTGCCCAAGTCGGTATTTTTTACTTATCTGATCTTGAATTATTACCGGTGGCCATAATAGAAATCAAGATAAGTAAACGAGACCGACTTGGGCAAAGCTACATTAAGATGTTCATAATACAATTGCAACGTATTATAACAGGTTGTTGAAGCTTGAGAGCGTATATCATATCACTCAAATAAATGTTGAATTTCTCTCCACTTTTCCCCTTTTCCTAATTTTACATCAATATGATAATATTTTTGCACATTTATTCTAAAAACTACTAAGATAAAAAGGTGGTCGGACATCTTTACATTTACAGAGGGAAATATATCGCTTAGAAATGCAAAAAATCAGACTGATTCTCCGTTTGAAATTAAATTAAATTATACTCAAAATTAGTAAAGTTGGTACCATTTTAGTGCATTAACCGACACTGGTCGTTATTTCTCTAAACGTAGGATACACACTCCCCTCCATAAGTTTGGCAACCTTAGCTCCCCCATTGAACTAATTGTTAAAGCCTCTTTACGTTTGATTTTTTTACTTAACCGGCGATGAAATAAGTTATAATATTGATGGAAACGTAACTTGACCTTATTTCCAATACCTCCAAATTTTCTCAATTTTTTTTCCTCAATTACAATAGGTCGAAAATTGATGATAAATTTGATGAATTTTTGAAAATCGTCATTCCCATGTAATCCAATGGGAAATGGAGGGTTCGGGGCAAATCAGAAATCAGGATGTCTTTTCAGGAAAAGATTTAGCAAAAAAATATTTGTAGAAAATTGAATTGTCTAACTTTTTTTTACACTAAGTGTTTAGTTTATTTGATGAATACTAAAGTTACAGCGCTTCAAAGTCATTTTTGAAAATAATTTTTCGCCTCCTGTGTTATTTCAATGGGAGAGGTTTTTT